ATCGTAAAGTAACTCCCCTCTTTCGTTGATGTTAGTGCTTCCCCAGGCAGTGTGATGAGCATTATCACCACAATCCACCACAAGTTCGGCGTTGTGTTTTCGGGCGAGCTCCGCTACTCACTCTAACTCAATTATAGGATCTGAGTTCTCTCCGGTAAGATAGGATGTGCAAATGATCACTCTGGCCCCAGTGCATCCCTTAAGATTTATGAAAGCTGTAACTAGGACATCATTGCAGCACTCTGGAACAGCTAAAAGTTCAATATTTTTATTTTAAATTATATAATCTCTGGGTTTATTGCCTTTAGTATTGACAAGAATCTTACCGGCAGCCGACAATCCCAGAACTTGACCGCTGGGCATCCAAGGCTCTTGTATGAGGGTGAGGTCAATGTTGTCCTCTACAAAGCAAACCTCCACCACGGCAGAAGCAGCTGCTGCATGGTGAAGATTTGCCTGGAGGACCCTCGTCTTACCCTTGGGGTTAGCCATTTATGGGCGTGGGGCGGCTGGGTCTTTTTCACCTGTTGAGGACGAAGACGTCCTTTACCGGCGCTCTTGACCCCCACCTTACCTCTTACTATACCGCTCCCACCTCCCCTCCACCCACCCCTGGACGACACCAGCGGAGGCAGTCGGACCGAGGCGAGATCCGAGGTGAGGCGCGCCCCACTTGGCTTAATGGTACGAGATTGCTACTCGAGAACAATCATCCCCATCCGTTGTCGTTTTTCGAAATACATGGCTATAGACTGATACCCTTGTTACTCGCTGGAGAAGGTGATACTTCACATATATATTACTCTCTATTTTTCCTATTAAAACCTACTTTAATGTATACTAACTTCTGTGCGAACAATTTTAAGCCCGATGTTTGCAAAAATAATCTTTTCAGTTAACACGTTTTAAAAACAAAATATATTGAATTAATTAAAGAATCCAATACCATTGTCTATTTATAATCACTTCGTCAATATTTATTCAGTAGCATAGATTGAAGAGAACTCTTGGCCGTTAATTACGTGATTGCGCGGGAGAATATATTATGTGTCTTAAATTAGAGGAATTAAATTTACTTACCGAGAAACTCGTACTAACAATCACTAATCGGCGTGAATTATAAATATTGTGGTGTGTAATGTTGTATGTGTTACTGTATGTCTATGATAGTGTATAGCCGATAAACACTAGCGATTATTAATTTTTTTTTTATAGAAGAGGGGGCAAACGAGCATGTGACTCACCTGATGTTAAGTGACTACCGCCACCCATGATCAACCGCTACACCAGGGGAATTGCAGGTGCGTTGCCGGCCCTTTAGAAAGGAGTAAGCTCTTTTCTTGAAGGTCCCCAGGTCGTATCGGTCCGGAAAAATCACCGGTGGTAAATTATTCCACAGAGAGGTTGTACGCGGAAGAAAACTCCTTTTGAAACGTACAGTGGTGGACCGCCAAGCATCCAGATGGTGTGGATGGTATCGGGACGTTTGCCGTGTAGTACGTTCACGAAATTTGGCGGCTGGGATTAATCCGAACAATTCCTCAGAGCACTCCCCGTGATAGATGCGATAAAATACGCAAAGAGATGCAACATCTCTTCGCAGTGCCAGTGAATCGAGCCGATCGGAAAGCACTCGGTCGTCGACGATTCGAGCCGCTCTGCGCTGGATGCGGTCAAGTGGAAGGAGCTGGTACTGGGGAGCCCCAGCCCAGAGATGGGAACAGTATTCTATGAGCGGCCGAACCTGCGCCTTGTAAAGTTGCAGGCGGTGTGCCGGCATGAAATACTGTCCCGCTCTGCTGAGCACGCCAAGCGTTTTAGAGGCCAATTTGGCCTTCCCTTCCAAGTGACCACGAAACTGCACGTCACTCGATATGTCGACGCCGAGGATTCCGATACTGGCTGAGGCAACAAGGGGAGTGCCTTGAAACTGAGGGGATACGACAAAGGGGTTCTTTTTAGCGGTTAACGCGCAAACTTGTGTCTTCTGGGGGTTAAACTGGACTAGATTTAGTCGCCCCCAATCCGAGACTCTGTCCAGCAGAGACTCGACTTCAGACACAAGTTTGTCCCGGCACTCAGAGACGTTTTCCCGAGAAATATTGGCTCGGCCGATGTAAAGAGCATCACCAGTGCTGTCATCTGCATAGCAATGAATGCTACGGGTTTGCAACATATCATTGATATGCAGAAGAAACAGCGTTGGCGATAGCACGCAGCCCTGTGGAACACCAGCATTAATAGGCTTGTAATCGGAGCTTGCACCATCTACAACGACCTTGATGCTCCGATCTGAAAGAAAACTGGTGATCCAATCGCACAATTTCTCGGGAGGCCCATAGGAAGGGAGCTTCGAAAGAAGCGCTTTGTGGCAAACCCGATCGAAGGCCTTCGCAATGTCCAAACTAACGGCCAATGCTCCTCCCTCTTGGACTCTACTGCCTCCGCCCATCTGTGAGTTAGGTAGACAGAAGATCACCAGCTGACCTACCACGGCGAAAACCGTATTGGCGGTCACTAATCAGCTGGTGATCCTCAAGGTACCTCATGAGCTGGCAGTTTACAATGGACTCCATTGTTTTGGAGAACAAGGATGTGATGGCGATAGGCCGGTAGTTGGACGGGTCTGAGCGGTCGCCTTTTTTTAGGGATCGGGTGGATGAAAGCCGTTTTAAAACTAATTAAATTGATAATGCGGTAGGAGCACAATAAGATGCAACAGCGGGCACGGATTAGCGAAGACTGTATTGCACTAATGCCCCTTTCCTTTTGAAGTTGAAGTGGAGTGACAATTTTTACTCACACCACCGCCATCGATGATAAATACGAATAGATTAATTCGAGCGCATGTTCGGCGCGACTTGGTAGGAAACATAGTTAACATAAATATTCCGTCTATTCAAAAGTTAAATTACGGCTTGGTAGTTGACAGCTCTAATAATGCAGCTGAAAATGGTGCAGCTTTTTTTGAACCACAATGTAATCCTATTTTATAATTTAACATAAATAATAATATCATGGTATATATGGATAGTAGTGTCATGGTGGCTAAGCGTGTAGCAATATGTGAATTACTGTCATACGCTGCGTCATTACCACAAATTTTTATTGTGATATTTACAGTCTGAAGAAGCGCACTCCAACACCTGGCTTGGTGCATTTTGGATGTCCTAGGCACACTGACATTCTACTCCGTTATGGAAACCGTTTCCGTTTATGGGTGTGTGATAAAATAAGCGAGATATCTTGGCTAGACAGGCTACTACGGATGGCATCGAATATAGCATTTTACCCCATTAAACTGATTTGTCTTATAAAAAGGCATACATAATATACATTATATACTGTCGAAGGAGTATTTCAATTTACGTTCAATAGAAAATACTATTTGTCATAGTACAGCTATAGCCGTCAAAAATACTATGGATTGGTCGATGGATGGAACCTCTTAATAAAAGTCATTTTCAGTCTGTTTTTCTGATCAGATGCTAAACCACTTGCACATCCACGCGCAATAAAATATTTCTCCATTTTTTAATGTCTCTTTTTGTCAAAAATTATAAAACTACGGAGCACGTAAATTTTCTCACCAATGCCGCGAAGAAAATTTTTACATTGTTCAATTAACTTCATCTATTTGTACTCATAAGCAGCTAACTTCGCAGCCAATACTCACCGACGGCAGCGCCGTTATAAATTCTACAAATTTCAAGGACAGGCGGGCTATGCTTTAGTACGTAGCATAGAGAGTACTATATTCTTTGGTACGTAGCGATCCGTAGACAGAGAAACCTATAGACAAATTGACGCCTTCTTTCGCATTCGCACACGAAAAAGATAGATTTATGCATACGTCTTGCATAGAAATGAGATAGAGCGGTGTGATTGTTTGTCCCTTTCTACGTGCCGGTTTTTTTTTAGCTAACTCTACAGTTTGCTAAAAAACTTTAACAGCGTAGCGATTTAAGGAGTTTACAAGTTGGTTTAAGTGAGAAAAAAGTGTTTTGTGAGCTTAAGATTGGTGAATCTTGTTCAGTTCAGTTCTTAGAACAATTAAATTTTTTATCTAAATGTGTTTAAAAGTCATAAAGATTATTGTATAATCTAAAAATTCGTTATCGTCCTTTCTCACTCGAGGCCACGCCGATCATTAGTCTATAGGTTTCTCTGTCTACGTAGCGATCGTTCTCCTCGGCCCTCGGCACAAAAAAACCGGCACGGAGAAAGGGACAAACAATCACACCGCTCTATCTCATTTCTATGCAAGACGTATGCATAAATCTATCTTTTTCGTGTGCGAATGCGAAAGAAGGCGTCAATTTGTCTATAGGTTTCTCTGTCTACGGTTCTCCTGTTCTCTAACCTCCATGTTCTTAACTGTCAAACCATAGACAACAACCATCGCAACTTCTCATGCAACTAAAAATATCTAAGTTCTAAGCCACATTTCGAAGATTTGGAATTAATAATTAAACTGTACAGGGCACAGGGTGAAATTATGGGATTGATCACACACCTCTCTGTGGGATTGATTCGTGAACTTTAGTTGTAACTATATTCATAAGCCCATTAATAAAGAATAAAAAAATGTTTTTTGTTATATAAGCTTGGCTGTAAGATATAAATGCCTGTGCCATTTTTATAGATTAGTATTATAATTTAGGTCTATGATTTATCAATATGATCATATTTTTTTCCAACATAATCTGTTGAAAGTTGAAAACTGGAAATGGCGTAGCAAAGAGTGAATTTGTTTTTACATTTTGTATTATTAATTGTTTTTAATATTAGACGCGAATCCCATCAGATTTAAGAAACTTGTATAGTATTTTATGTATTTAGTTTAATTTTTAGTGTTTGTGTTCTTATTTTTATGTACTCACGTAGCCTCATTTCGATCTCTTTGTTCCATATTTTATGAATTGTAACAAAATTCATCGTTGTGGTTATTCATTTCAAACCGTGTAATGAGTTTAATGAAACATTTTGGTGGAAACGGGATGATCAACCATAGTAGAGAATCACGTAGTCGTTCTGTTCAAGGTCTGTCGTGTGTTGTTTCTAGTCCCATTATGAAAATACCATTACCTCCCCGTCTGTGGATAACAGGTAAGCAAATTGTTTAGGAAGGTACAAGATTGCATAGTGATAATTTAAGATAATAAATGGATATTTAATAGTGTCACTGAATTTATGTAATAATGATTGTTGTTACGTTTTCTATAGACGTGGAAGACGAAACGTCCGATGAAAACAGTGCTAGCATGAGGGATGAAGGGGTCGTTATGGCAGAAAGAACAAAAATTAGGTCTCGGTTTCGCCACCATAAACAGCGTTGCACATATAGTGTCCCAATTGGTATATTTTGGGACATAGAAAACTGTCAGGTATTAAAGTTTCAATTGTCACACTGTTTAATCAAACATTTTTATATAAGCACAGTATGGTAGATCCTTTTACTTTCTCATTGAATAGGTGCCACGAGGATGTTCTGCAATAGATGTGGTAGCAGCAATCCGAGCCAAGTTTCTTTCTGGGAGAAGGGAAGCTGACTTTGTTGTTGTTTGTGATGTGCGTAAGGAGGCTACAAATAGATTACAAGAACTTAATGATGCCCAAGTATGTTAAATGTTTTCAATTATTTTCTAGAAACTCGGTTATAAAGTTATAATTTCTCATCTGTTTAATTTAATATTACTTTATCACATACAATCTGACAAAGTATAGAATTCTTATTGATTGATTGATGAAATTTGGCAATTATATTGCTTTTAATGTAATATAGGCTTATAATGTCCTTCAGTCTGAATTTTGGTCATTGCAGCCAGTCTCCGCAAAGACTAGGCATCAGAAACAGTAATCGGACATAATGGTAGAGAGATCAGGCACAGGATATGGTTTATTATTATGTTATTGTTTTACAAACAGGTGAGCCTAATTCATGTATGCGGTACTCAAAAGAATGCAGCTGATGAAAAATTAAGGCAATGCATGAGAAGATTTGGTGAGCTTCATTCAGCTCCAGCTGCATTACTCCTAATCTCAGGAGATATCAATTTTGCTGCAGACTTATCTGATTTCCGACATAGGTACTTTTTTATGAATTGTATTATTTCTTATTATACTTAGCCTTTTGATTAACCGTTTTTATATTTATCTCAAATCAGGAAAAATATGGAGGTTATATTGGTGCACAAACAGAACACATCTTCTGCCTTAATTACATGTGCTTCTTCTCATTATTGTTACAATGAAATAACTGCACATCTGCCGAGAAATCCGAAGGTATATCCATATATAAATATATATTTGTAATCTAATATCAATATTGTAACATGATTGATAGAAAATTTAATATATGCCATAATTTTCATTTGTGCTATCTGTAAACTTTCCTGCCCACAAATCATAAATGTCTGTTTTAACCAATTCACCTAGACAAATTATACTATTTATTGACAGATTTTGTGGGCTCAGACACACACTCGCATGCGCACACATACGGACACTTAGTGCGTGCATGCAAGCATATAAGTATGCACATATGCATGCACACACACACAAGTCTATTGGCATAAATTGCATTCAATTTGGGATAATTGCAAATAAAATTAGAAGCCTTATTTACTCATATTTTCAAAAACTGCAATAACGGTATATCTTTATTTATATATTTGAACTTAAGTTTAAAATTCTACTTTTTGAAAAATAAACCTGTGTAGTTACAGTGTAGTTACAAAGAGTAACTTTTGAAGATTTAACTAGCAGGAGGGTACCAACAATGTATTAACCATCACAATCAAAGACTAAATATTTCCTCTAGGTCAGTCAAACAGAGGAAGAAGAGGAACCCACATGTGAAATGGAGGTTGCAAATCTTCCTATGGATCAACCACCAGAGAGAGTCTCACGACGGTTGCGAAGGCTGGCGGATAATTGCGGAGGAAAAGTACTCCGAGTGACGGCGCCCACTGCGGTTTTGAGGTTTCCTACGCCGGATCACGCCTCAAGGTAATAATACTTAACACACATTATTATTTCCCCCTTTTCTTCCGTGTAAGGGGCAACTATGGGATATGACAGAAATATCATATGGCTAATGAAAGCAGTATAACCATTCCGTTTACAATAGCAGACTGGTGACAGGGAGCGACAAAGGCCCAAGAGGTCCATGTATAGCAGGAGACTTTTACAGACTAATGAAGAACAAATAAATATTTTACCTTGCCAAGTTGCCTTGCATTGCCTGATCGGTTGCCTGGAAGAGATCGCTATGTAGCAATAAGGCCACATTGTACATATAATCTGCTTTTTGTTTTGTTATCTGTATATTTGTTTGTGGTGTGCAATAAAGTACATTTATTCATTCATATTCACAATCAGATTGTACAAAATATTTATGTAGAACAATAAAGTTATCTGAAACTATGACTCCTGAAAATATGTTAAGCTTTTCCCAATAATAAGCTGAGTGAGTCAATTCAAGCCAGCTCGCCTAAAATTTCAAAGTACTTAAGCAAGTAAAGTTTTTTTGCCCTGTAAGGAAAAGGGGATATTTCCCAACGGGCCTTGTGTTCAGCTCGGGGAGCGGCCAACGCCCCACGTGATAGTTCGAAGCTATTCTATATTTACCGCAGTACTTCGGAGCTTTGATAGCGCGATTTAGGCTTCGGTGCGTTTCGCTTGTGGCGCGATGACAACGCCGCCACAGCTTAATGCATGGTGCCATGGTGTTATATTATTACCATATTATATTAACTTTATGTGCCTGAGTATAAAATAGAATAGAATAATGTTTGTCCAATACAGATCACAAGAACACTAATTGAAAGTCACTTATGCTTTTACGACTGTTTTAGAAGTACATATCTATTTCCTGCCGGGCTAGCATGAGCGGGGGACAATATATCCCCGGGGAGAGGATACAATTTTTATCCCTTGCTTAATTTTATCCACCCTGCGAGCATAGGCAAGAGACAAAAATTATATCCCCCCGATTATATCCACTGACAAGAGATAAAATTGTCTTATCTCTATAGTATATCCCCGTTTGACATAACGAGTAGACATATATCTCCCCGTCCGTAGCATGAGGCCAAGGGAAAGAGAAAGAATTATCCCTTTTTGACATTTGAAAGGGACAATTTTATCCTCTATCGCGGACGTGGGTTTAAGTTTATCTTCAAACCATTTTAATACGAAAAAGAATGAGAAAAAGATGTCTCGAGCCTATTGCAACTACATTTTCGTGTCAGAAATTGAAAAACAAAAAAGAAAATTACACCAGCGATCGATACGTGATCAGAATACTTAATCTACCTATTAGAATTCTCCGACAACGAATTTCTACACCGGTTTCGGATGCTCAAAGATTGTTTTGTATTTGTGTAAAGAACTCTATGAGGCTTTAAAGCCTATTAATTCTGTGGATGGACTACCAGTGTATATTGAAGTAAGCATCTATTACAACCACCTTGTCCAAAAACATCGTATATTTGCAATCAATACATGTGGCTTATGTAACTTATCTTAATATTTTTATCTAAATATTATACAAAAGAAAATAAAGAAAGAATTAGAATAATAGAAAAAATAAAAACAAACATATTGTTTAACAAAAATTATTAACAGTTTAGCAATATAATAAACAAAAGGTAAAAGAAAATATAAGTTAATGTAAATCTACTTAATCTTAAAAGAAGTTTATAGCTAGTATAGTTTATAGCTTTATACTATCGTACAAAGATGTTTTATAAAACATCTTAAATGATGAAGATGTTTTATAAAACATCTTTGCTATCGTATATTATCTATGCGCGGGGATAAGTTTATCTACTGTCGATATTATATCCACCATAGGCCCATGCTCGCAGGGTGGATAAAGCTTTGACATAGGGATAAGACAATTTTATCCCTTGTCAGTGGATATAATCGGTGGATAAAATTTTTATCCCCTGCTCATGCTAGCCCGGCTGGGAAGAACCAGATTTTAAACACTAATTTACAATAGAATATGTTAGTAGCGATCACCTCAATGTCAGTGCCAGAGGTCAGTTGGACCAAGCCATGGCTACTAAGCCGGCTTAGCAGCCGTGGCTTGCTTACGAAAAATCGGAAACCCCTTCAAGGAGGTGGGGGGGGGGGAGAGGTTAAGGTTGCCTATTGACACTACACATTCATACCTTGTTAATCTCTTTGATCTATTAACCTCTCTGGTGGTTCAACCGACCCTGGAGACGGTTTAGCTGATTTCAATGATTCTTTTAAGAAAAATTAACTATTGATTTGAACTTGGGATATTCCTCAGTTCAACTAAGAGAATAAAAAATAAACTTTCAAAAAAGTAGAAACTTTTTCGAAAGTTCATTGGATTTTTCATAACTTTCTTTGTCGCGAACATGCCAATTTGTCTGATGGTAATTCTGTCTTTTGGTTGTTACGCTATTATCTTGGAATTTCTCTTAATAGACGTCAAGGTCATTAAACAAAGTCATATACAACAAGAAATTGGACAGTAACAGTTCCCGCACCACAATTCAAAACAAACTGAGTATGTATTTAAACAGAATATACTGTTGTCATCAGGCTGATAGTGTGATAACAGTATATTTGTTTTAATTTTATTTCTACTAAGGGTCGTCGCATACGTACCACAATCACACCACATCGCAGCAACAAAATATGGTCACGTGTGAATAGTGTCGCTGCAGCTTTTTGCAGTTGCGTTGTGGTTATGCGACAAAATGTCGATGTGGTTGCGTTGTCGCTGGTAGCGGCCGCTAGTTCTGTAGTGGTTGCGTCGTAGTTGATATCACTCACGCAGTCGATAATGATGGCAAAATGTGGTACATGTTAATTGTACTATTCATTTCCAATACAAAATGCGCCTGTCGACGTGTTGTGGCTGTAGTGTGGTTGTGTTACGTCTGAGACGCTTCCTCGTCAAGGAAGCGGGCTTAAAGATAAATGTTTCGCATTAAAAGTGTCATATTTCTCATCGTATTTTACTATTACTAACCCTCTTACTTCTGACAACATGCAGCAGTGTGTGCTCTGCTGAGTTACGGTCCGGAAGGGTATAAAGAGCCAGTATAATTACTGGTTGTAAGCCATTTGAGCCAAGCCATGGGGGTAATGTGTTTCTATTCACAGGAGGCAATGAATTGATTGTCATGACCAAAGTACCTAAATACTGAGTCAAAGAAACGGTAGCCTTCATTTTTGTTGTGTCTATAAATTAAGATATATATGGATTGTTCATGTTTATGATATAGCACAAAATATCCTATCACATAAGTAAAAAATGTGGGGCTAATTTATAGAATAAAAAAAATATACGCTGGAAATATGTTTTTGACATGACAACGTCTAATAAATCGATGAACGCCGGCTGCACGCACGAAAAAGGATGACTCATTGTAACGTTACCATTATCATATGGTGATAGGAGCGAGAGCGCTGCACGAGCGAGCGAAAGGCACGATCGGCTTGAGCGTTCGGCTTGCGCCGCATCCATCTCTCTTCCGCTCGATTGGCCAATGCGTCCGAGGAGAAGAAAGACAGCGATAGCACACAACTTACATTGACACATTGACACGTGAACTGTTTCGTCGACTGTTTATAAAGTGAAATTTTCATCAATGTTTTGTTATGAAGTTGTCACGTTAAACTATAGTCAGTAAACCGATTTTACAGACAACCAATTTTTTTTGTATTAGCTCACCAAACCTAGGTCTTTCCGCTCTTTCACAGCTAGAGTTGCAAGTAACCAAGTCTTAGTGTCTTTTTTTACTACGTATTACATGTTACTTCAATGTCCTAGTAGCGGATTATCAGTGACCTGGCACAGTTCTTGTTGTCAGCTTCAGTGGGCCGCCGTTAATATAAAACCTCATTCGTAAATATAAATTACGTCAAAAATTCGTCAATTTTTATATAATAACCGCGAATAGGTTGGCTCGACCGTGGAAGAACCACTGTTGAATACCAGTGTCAAATAGCAGATAATTGCTGCTGTGCTTCAAAAAAGTGTAGAGAGAGTAAAAGAATCCAGATGGTATGGATGGTATCTCTTATACCATTCATACTACCTGGATTCTTTTAAATCGCACAGTGGTGGACCGTTTAAAAATTTTCTTACTCGCACAATATCCTTGTGGAATCGACTACCACCAGAGATTTTTACGGACTGATACGACTTAGGGACCTTCAAGAAAAAAGCCATTAAATTTACGTGGTAGAGCCACGCTGCAGCTATATTATGGTTGTAGCACGAATGCGTCGGCGCGATCGGAGAAGGACTACGCTCCGGTATGGTGAGTGTAGAAAACCGGAGACTCATTTTACTGGATTACTGTTTTTTTTTATAGAAGAGGGGGCAAACGAGCATGCGGCTCGCCTAATGTTAAGTAACCACCGCCGCGCATGATCAACCGCAACACCAGAGGAATTGCAGGTGCGTTGCCGCCCCTTTAGAAAGGAGTAAGCTCTTTTCTTGAAGGTCCCCAGGTCGTATCGGTCCGGAAAAATCGCCGGTGGTAAACTATTCCACAGAGAGGTCGAAAACTCCTTGTGAAACGTACAGTGGTGGACCGCCAAGCATCCAGATGGTGTGGATGGTATATGCATTTTGATTCTTAATCGAGGATGTTATGTAGATGTCTATGGGCCACAGCATCCACTTACCATCAGGTGAACTGTGTGCTCGTTTATAGTGTCATTTATCAAATGTATGTTCTATTCAATAAAAAAATGTTAGTCCTCAAAGGTAACAGGTGCAGTCCATGTTACAAAAGTAATACAGCAGCCATTTAACATCAGGTGGACTGCACGTTCGATTGTTACTTGAATAAAAAACAATCTTCAGTATAAAATAAAATACTTGATAAGGATTTTGACGCGGTTTTCATTGACTTTTAAGAAGATAGTGAAGAGCTGATACGCGGCGCGAGTAGTTATTTTCCAAAATGCTATCTGTTTCACATCGCTCGCTCCGTATCACGGTCGTGAGA